ACTTCATGCACAGTAGTCATGGTTACCGGCTAGTCGATTGCTGAAGATTGCCGGAGGCAGAGGGCCGCTTGTCCATCTTGACTGTTCTCTTTCGGGCTGATTTAAGAAACATACTTGCAGTTGTGGTTTAAGGGTGTACAGAAGAGGGAAGCATGTATGACTGCCTGTAAGTATGGAGTGTTTTGTTCAGCCAAGGGGATAACTGGAAAAATGGGAATTTTATCACTTATATTGCCATGACACTAGTGGGAATGGGCTTTTCTTAGTTCTGTCCAAGAGAAGCCAAAACCTCAAGACTACCATTTCCGAAGTCGTTATATGCTTAGCTCAAGGAACATAAATTCATTCATACTCTTATGGGGCTTCCATGCATTGGTAGGATTCCTAAATACGTACTGTCTAGCTATTATATGTACCTTGAATCTCAAAGGTCCGCCATCATTTGGTAGACAAGCCTTTATTGAATTGCGTTGCGAGAGGAAAAAAAGTGTGGTAACCTGTGTCGAAGCCAAAGAATCGAAACAATCATCCTAAAGCAATTAAAAGTAACCTCGGTGAAATCCTTAAAATAATACCCTATACAGACACAAATATTGGATAAATGTGGTAATGCTTTAGGGGTGCATTCGAATTACAATGCTTTCGAGTCAAAATTCTCGACTTCTGCCCCAGGTTTAGGCTTAACCCTCGTCAGAATCACCAAAAGCAACTTACCAAAAAAGTGGATTTTTAAAACATAAGTAGGATGCAGACGCCTTATGACCAAATAAATGACCAAAAATATTATTTTATCAGCACCTTAAACAACATCTTATATACTCGCATAATCCTAATTGGGATACAGAAACGTACCATCAATACAAGATTGGCATAAATGAAGGACTGGTCTTTCATGACCTTGAACGAAATAGGGTGAATACATCTCATATTACTGATTTATTGGTAGTCTCGAAACTCTACTCAAACACTTTGTATATCTTTCGTTTTCCGTAATAATTTGGACAGTAAGGTTTCATGGATTGGCCTCGCCGACAAACAAGGAAGAACGTCTTTGAGTATTTTAACGTGAATTTTCTCAATATTGCTTAATTCCCAGGTTCGCTATCTTCCGACCCAGTGATTGTGTTGGGTATCCATTGCTGCAAAGGAAGACATCAGAACTTCAAGTAAAGAAACAATATTGAAAGGTCCCCTCAGAGCCAATGCTTCGAATTATTTATTGTTCTATAAAGTAGCTCAGTGTAATTGGTCCTGGCGACCCAAAGGCTGATGTCTGAGTTTTCAAAACGAGCAATTAAAATACTTAAATTTACCATTAAAGTTAATTTAGCCCTGCTTTACCCTCCTTATGTTTCGGTGGAAAGCTAGACTTTATCAGGTGATTTTCAATAGCTATGGCTACATGATAGAGTTATGAAGAAAGGTTGATATTAAAGAAATCGCTTGGTTTGCATTTGCTTAGTTCACTTCCAATTCGAGTTAAAGTGTGCTGGAGAGACTGGAAGGTCGATCTAATCATAAAATTATGGCGACTCAACTATGGCCAAAAAAGCTTGGCTTTTATGGAATGCCATTTGGTCCTAGGCCGGACATCTTTCCTTATCACACTCTGTGGTGGGATTGTCGATAAACCAAACTTATGTTTGCCACAGCAATCAAGGAAGTTACATATTTTTGGAAGGTATGAAGACCAGGATGGTGTGGCAAAACGAGGAGTGATAGCATAACCGTCTCGACAAAAAGTTGGTCAGGGGATCGACTTTACTCGTCTCTTTGCCAAGTTGCAGCTTGGTTGCTGAAAATGGCAAGACTTACAAATGATGCCAACGTTTTGGAATGCCCCAAGTCCACGATCCGACTCTGTAAATGATCATGCATACTATGGACTCTGAACAAAGTACGTTCCTCTAGGCCTTTCTGCTAATATGACCAAGTTGCGAAACTAAAGTCAAACAACTTCGTCACTTATTTTCCGTTTGGTATAGGTTTTCGATATATGAGATGTGATCTGATTTACTGGTAAACTCGAAAACCTACTCAAAAAAGAAAAAGCAATTACTTTTGTTGGGACAAAGTTGAACTGAGAATTTTCAGCAGTGTTAATTTCCTCACATGATAAATGTGTAAAGATCGAGAAGTTGACGGAGAACGGGAAATTGCAGCTTCTGTTCCAGTAAAAATGCTCATTTACGGGATCCTAAAAGCTTCATCAAAATCACGTTAACTTGCTAAAGAGCGGTCCAGTAATTTACCCTCAGTAGAGAACATTATTTAAACAGAGAAATCAGGCCTGCGCTTTTGAAAGGTAACCAAAGTTTACAAACCCAAAATACCGCCAATTTTTTGGATTCGAACGAATTCTCCCTTTTAACAATATTTTTTATCATGGCTAATCAGCTCTCACATTCATAGCCAATGTCGTAGAGATCGATTTGAGTCCCATTAAGGTAATATATGAAAGGCATTCAACCTATTTCGTTTAAGGTGATGAAGGACTGGTAGTATAATTTTCCCACAATGATATGAGTAGAGCTGACGCTTCCATTGAATTTCACATTGCCTTGCTTTCCCAAAAATTACACTCATCCAGAGTGGTTAACGTGTCAAGTTCCCATTCTGCACTGTCACGGTTCGACTCCTGCTGGGGGTGTTGATAAGACCGATGCAAGGTCGAAACTACAGTCCACCCTGGATGAGAATAACTTTTGGGAAAGCAAGGCAATGTGAAATTCTACTACTAGTCCTTCATCACCTTAAACGAAATATAGTTAATGCCTGTCATATTACTTATTTACTGATAGTCTCGAAACTCTACTCAAATACGAAAATAAGGTAATATATTCTTCGATACCCATTTGCAAGCTCATAACTTACGATGCAAGTGGACCTCATCTATATTAGAAGTTCTTGTTCAGTAGCAAATTAGCATAAAAATATAATGCCACAAATCAACAACTTTCTTAGCCCTATTGGCGAATAATGTGAGCATGGTTGTAAGGAAGGGGCAAGGTAAATAAAAGATGAAAAATTGTTAATGTGAGGGGCATCAGCAAGATTTTTGAGGAGCGTGGCCAAATGTCGGAAGAGAAATCAACTTATGAGCCCGACTAAGCCCAACTTACTGGGCATGTGGAGATCCAAAAATTGCACGAATTGAGGGCCTATAGTTCCAGCTTTTAACTCTTTTTTTTTTAATGTTGCACTTGACGAAATGTGGAAATACTGCATGCACATACTCTAAAGCGTTTCATTTTTAATCCACAGTCCATCAAGTTATGACATCTAAGTCTGTGAGTCTGGATTTGTTTAACTGTCATCAAAATCAACCAGATTAAAATCTTGTTTTCGACATTTCGTGTCCTGTTTTGAAGACTTTGCCATATGCTAGACGAGAATTGAGCACAATTTCAGAATACCACTTGTTTAAAGTGCGCTATGGTTCAATACTCTCAAAGTAAGCCAAGATAAATTAATATAACTCTTTTCGTCAAGGCGGATCTTCCCATCTTTTCCATTTAAGTTTTCTCCAAAATTCCTGGAATTAATAAAGTTAAAAGTATTTGTAGCCTTAAATTATGATTTTGAGCTCATCTTGATTAACCAATAGGTTAATTGGCACCATATTTTAATATTAAGAGTGACATGTGTAAAAGATACATTAAGATGCACTACTTTAGCTAAGAAATCTCCAAACTTGGGGAGTAAGTCAAAGAGTGAAAATGCTTAGCATCATCCTATAAGTCACAGGCGAGTTCAGGGATTATGATATCCTAAAGGTAGCTGCTCTAGATCCCAAACGGCAAAATACCCAAAACAATGCTTTCAATGGTTTGAACACAAGAGAATTAACACTCGCTTGCTCAGGGCAATATGGACGGCTCCTTAGAAAATTATTTTCCATGGATGAAGCAGGATCAGCCAGTGACGTGGTATCCATGCGATAATTATGAGTAATATTATAATCTTCCCAAGGATGCTCACAAGGCAGATCAGAGGGACCCAAGTGTACATACTTCGTAAGTTTGAAAGAAGCATGAAGAAATCACAAAGTATTGGACATTTCAGAGAAAAGTGAAAGTTTTGCACTGAAAATCATGCTTCACTCGAAATACAATCCTCGCCCTTTATCTCATTTTTCCACTGTTGATCAGATAAACAGATACAGCCGACAGACTATTTTAGACAACTTGAAAGCTTGCTCGAGCCTAAATGATGATAACTGAAGAATAAGAAACAAACTAGGTCTAAAGAATAGAGGAATGCTGATAAACAGCATGGAAAGTCTGACTTAGCATGAAAGAGACATAGACATTCATGATAGATTATCTGGTCTAAGGTAACCCTCAAATAATGTGATTATCGTAACCAGTATAATATTCAGCCTGTGAACATATGTACACATAAATGGTACCAGCAATAGACAAGGAAGGGATTAAGAAATAACTTCGTCTTCATTAAGTTCGCCACTTCTTGATCATAAGCCGATTTAGTTTCCCTAAAGATGGTTGATTAGATAATTATACTAGTCCACTTCCATTTTTTTGGAAGTGGTGGGAAGATTTGTTGGCAGATTTCACCAGGGAACCCTTGCAGATTCACT